CTTGTGCCACAGACCTACTTACTTCTACGTGTGGTGTTGGGGCGGCAGCTGTGGTGCTCCAGGAGAGTTACTTGGCCTCTCTGAATCTTACTATTCGCAAATAATGATGATACCTCCAGGTGATTTCACAGTGTGATGTTAGGAGCAAATGAGTTGATCCATGTGAAAATCCTATTACATCAGCTACTTTAAGTGTAGAGATAGAGGGGGGGCAGAGAGATGCTATGTGACATAAATGCGACATAAAGCCAGACAAACCTGGTGTTGAATCCTCACCCCTTATCTTACCGGCCATTCAACCATGGAATGAAGGCCGAGCCTCGCTTATTCACCGGGTGAAGTAAGGAAGACACCCTCCAGGTTCCAGAAGGATGCGGGTGAATGATACATATGTCTGAAAGTCCTCCAAAATGTGTCTGGCTTTTCTAGCATTCGTGTTACTCCTGCCTACCTTAGGACAGAAGAAATATAAGGGCTTCAAAACAACTCAAGGAACCCAGATCAGTGCAAAGGAGAGTAGGAGGGAAACAAAGAAAACCAGAGAGAAATCCCCAGGGCATCTGAAGAAATAGAATGTTAATTATGGATGAAGTAAGGAGTACCTGAGAGACATGGAGAGGTAGGCAGGGGTAGTTCAAGGAAGGCCTCATAAGCTATATCAAGGAGTTCAGCATCCTCTAGGCTCATCATTTTCAGGATGGAACAAAATGTCAAATGATCCCACCTAGTGGGCCTCCTCAGTGGAAAAACCATCCATAATCAATACAGTGTGACTTCCCATGATCCCATATTTAATTTTGTATACTTTGTCTTATGCCACGAATTGCACTATTCAGTGACTCCTTCCTCAGCATTCAGGAGGTACCGTGGTATCTGCAGTGCAGCCAGGACTCAAGAGTTAGGGAGGCCAAGAAAAGTGGTATTTGGTAGATGGGGTGGGCTTCGAACAGGGCCTGGACTGACTCCATTGCACACCAACATAAATAAGCCCTTGATGAGTGGGCAGAAGCAGGGCTGGAACCTGCTGCTCTCAGCAGACAGTGGAACCAGCACTGGGCTGAGGTCACTTGCTGTGTGATCTTGGGGAAGTCACTGAACCTCTCTGGGCCTCAGAAACCTTTCACCATTAACTCTATGATTCTATTTTTCAAGTCCTTTCCTAAGAGTACAGGGATAAAGAATGGGTTCCCGAGGACACTAGGGTGGAGAGAAGAAAGGTTTCACAGAACAGGGGAGGGAGAAGGAGTAGTAAAGAAGGTGAGAACAGATATAGGAGATGACAAACAACCGCCTGACATCACTTCTGTGTGATTAGTGAGGAAAGGGACAATCTGGGTCATGAGGAATCAACATGGACCCGTTTTCAAGTCGGGCGACAGACCAGGGGTCACATCCCGGAGTACCTGCTAGCAAGCACTAGGCGAAGAGTGTAGGATACCGTGGGGGCAGGACAACTGCACCTGTGTTTCTGTGGAGTTGGGCTCCAGCAGGGAGGACATAGGCCGAGCAAGCGTGGAACATTATGGGAACGTGTGCAGGGCAAGCCGAAGGACGGAGAGTCTGGAGGCCCCACTCTTCATTAGTGGCCTCTGCCTGCCAGGGACCTGGGCTCCAACCCTCCAGTCATTGCTCCCAAAAGCAAGGGCAAGATGCTAGAAAGATCTGATGGGAAAGAAATGAACAAGTGTTCAGGTCCTTGAGACTCCTGGGAGGGAGGGAGCTGAGAGACCCAGGTGGGGGCACCATGGGGCCACTGGGCATGCCTTCAATGCCCAGTGGCCCTTGCCAGAATTTCTCCTGGACTGAGAACCTTGAAGATGGTATGAGGCCCCTGAGCAGTCCTGAGGGAAGTGTGGCAGGAGTCAACCGGGTCCAGGACAGCAGGTGGCACCGAGCAACTTAATTTGAAAAGAATCTCAAGAGCTCACCAGGATTTGGTACAATAAAGGACCAACTGCCCTTGCTGCTGCCTACCTGAGGGGATGGATGTTATATTATAAAGCAAGGCAGAGACTCCTTATAAGGTTAGGGGACATCTCTCCTGAGAACAGAGGGTGGAAAGAAAAAGATGCTGGACCTCAGCAAGGGGTGGAGAAGCTTGCAGCTCTGGGATCAGTTCTGTCCCTATCTCCAGAAAGTACCTGGAACCTTTGGATCTTGTCCCTCTCCATGTTCACCCACTGCCCAGGGGGTCAAGGAAGTGAGGAGGGAGGGGCTGGAAGGAGAGTTGGGCCTCCAGCCATTTCCTCAACCAATGGGTTGCTTCCAGAGGCAGGGCGCAGCCATCCACACTGTTGTGACCTCCAGTGACCCAGAGAAAATTTCCTTTATTAGTGGTGAAGCCTTTCTTCTTTTTATTAGAGAAAAGAACAATCATGTCTTACTTACATGCATGCCCACACCAGTACCCCGGTATCAGCGTCTGTAGGCCTAGCCCTTCTTCCCAATAGGACTGGTCTCCAGACGGTGGTTCTCTAAGGGGAAAATGGTGGGGGTGAGGAGAAAGAGGGTGAAGAGGGTTATGTCTGGAACAAGTGAATGCCTTCTCTTTTCCTCCTACCCCGTGCTCATCCATGAAGCCCCAGGAACTGTCCAGAATGTCCGTGCTAGCTAGCCCTGCTCAACCTCATGAGGCAGTAAGGTTTCCAGCACACTCCCCATTAGCTCACCTGGGTGCCCAGAGTAATTTTCTGTACTCTCCCACAAACTCACCGAGCATATGTCAAGTGATTTTCTGTGAAGGCTAACTTACAATCACTTTGGGTAAAAAGATACCCGTATACACACCTACTGACTCCCAAGAACCCCAGCTTCTCCCAACATATCCATGACGCAAATACTTTCTCAAGAGCCACCTAGATCTATCAGAGACAGCCTTTGTAGGCTGGAATCCAATCTTTCCTTCACTGAACCATTAGCAATATTTTGCATAAGGCTTTGAAGTCTGATCATTTCTTAGCCTTCCAAAGTCCTTAGATTGATCCAAGAGCATGTTCCCACTTAATTTCAGTCTAACCAAGGGAGGGACCGGGATGAGGGCCTTTTAAATGTAAAAAGCATTGGGTGTGCACTACCAGCTGGCTAGATCTGTGGTCTTGACCCCCCACTGCCCAACAGCTTCCTTCTCTTTGAGGTGAGAAAGATAAATCTAGATGCCAGAAATTGCAGCCCAGGCTCTGACACAGGGTATCTGTCCACATGTTGATCAGCTTAAGGATAACCACCTCACCAGGAAGGGCGTCAGCAGACACATGAAAGAACTGGCTGTAAAACAGTAAGTCTTTGGGTGAAAATTGGGTTTTTTTTTTACAGTTCAAGGTAGGGTTTTCTCTGGTCTTCTCATCTTATGTAATTTTTGCCCCTAACTTTTGGGTGTTAGAATTGAAATACGTCCAGTGTAATGTCTAAAGCCAAGAAGCCTGTCGAAATTGCTGTTCTTAAAAGGCATGACCTTGGATTTTGACAGAAGTCTGAAAAACCCCTAGACGCCTCTGGTGAGACAAGTGTCTGAAAAAGGAAGCGGCTGACCCACGAAGCCCTTGGCTCTCAGTTGTCTATTCAGAGAACATGTGCCACTTTACTCTCACTTTACTCTCCCAGGGTGGAAGTTGGAGCTTGGCTTTTTACAAGAACTGCCCCAACCTTGAAAGTGTTTGTTTGTTACTCTTAAAATAAAGAATTCGTGTTGCGTCGCAGGCTGTGATAAAGCGTGTCATGGGCAAAGTACATACGTTTTGCTTTCGGTGTTTTTTGTTTTTGTTTTTAAGGCCAAGAAAGAAAAAAATCACTCAGGGCCAATCCAGTGGCCAGCAGAAAGGTGAGGGACTCGGGCTTTGAAAGGGTTCACACCCCGCCCTTTAACTTCCATGCCCTCCCTCCGGACTGCTCCAGAGCAGACGATTCATTTGACTTCTTTTGTATCAGGTTTTATTGCTCCAAAGCCCTAGGGTCTCTATTTGCTCTCAGATGAAACGTGCCCCACTGAGCCGCTCTCCGAGGCGGCCCCTCCCGTGTCCCCGTTTCTCTCTCCGGGCGGGGTAAAGGAGGGGAGGCGAGGCGGGCCGCACACTCGCGCCCCGAGACTCCGAGCAGGGTCTGCAACGGTTGGGATGCACCGCGCCGCCTCCTAACCCCACCGGCACACACCGTGCCAACTTTACAGGAGTCCTAGAAAAGTCCGGTGAGGAGAGAAGACCCGGAGGAACTCGGGCGGGAGGCCGGCGCGCGCCCGGGACTGGCGGTGGCGAAGGCACCCACCCGACTGCCCAGGCTGCAGGCGGTGCCTGCGCCCACCCCCGAAGAGGAGCGGGGCTCCCTTCGCAATCCGCTCCTCAGCTGCGCCGCCCACGCGCACCCACCGGATCGTTTGTGGCGGCGCCAAGACGCCCCGCGCTGCGCCCCAGCCCCCGGGCGGAAGGGCCGGGCTTTGCGCAGCGCGCCGGGCCCGCGGGGGGGGGGGGCGGTAGGGAGGGCGGACGCCGCGGGCCGCAGGTGCCCCCGGAGCCCCGCGCCCCGCAGGTACTCGTCAGAAGGGCGGGCGGGGAGGGCCACGACTGGCCCCAGGCCGCGCGGGCCCCGCCTCCTCCTCGCCCCAGGAGCTCCCCCTGGGAGGAAGGCCGCCCCGGCCCCCGCGCCGCCGACGGGGCCTCCCTGCCCCCTCCCCGCCGGCACCCCGTACTCGGTGATTGGCTGGCGCCGCGGGTCCCTGGCACGCGCCTGTGGATGTAGTTATAAGAATCCTCGCGTGCCGGCCCTCAGTTTCTGCAAGTCGGCCACAGCCCTCCCCGGCGCAGCGCGGGCGCCGGCCAGAGCCCAGCGGCCGCGGACACTCCAGGGAGGCCGGGGGCGGGAAGCGGGCGGGCCATCCTCCCTGCCTCTCGCTCACCACCACCCTCCCCCCCCGGGAGGGAGGGGGCCGCCGTGCGAGCAAGCAGCGCACCGTTAAACTTCCAGAGAACCCCTCAGCCCCTCAGCCGTTCAGGCCCGCGGCGGCACGGAGCATGGACGCGGTGCTGCTAGAGCACTTCCCCGGGGGCCTGGACGCCTTCCCGTCTCCTTACTTTGACGAGGAGGACTTCTTCACCGACCAGTCCTCTCGGGACCCTCTGGAGGACGGCGATGAGCTGCTGGCGGACGAGCAGGCCGAGGTGGAGTTCCTCAGCCACCAGCTGCACGAGTACTGCTACCGCGACGGGGCGTGCCTGCTGCTGCAGCCCGCGCCTTCGGCCGCCCCGCACGCGCTCGCCCCGCCGCCCTCTGGGGGCCCCCGCGAGCCGGAGGACGGCGGCGGCGGCGGCGGCTACTGCTGCGAGGCAGGGGCGCCCCCCGGCGGCTTCCCCTATTCGCCCGGCTCGCCGCCCTCGTGCCTGGCCTACCCGTGCGCGGGGGCGACCGCGCTGTCCCCCGGAGCCCGGCTGCGCGGCCTGAGCGGGGCGGCGGCGGCGGCGGCGGCGGCGCGGCGGCGGCGGCGGGTGCGCTCCGAGGCCGAGCTGCAGCAGCTGCGGCAGGCGGCCAACGTGCGCGAGCGGCGGCGCATGCAGTCCATCAACGACGCCTTCGAGGGGCTGCGCTCGCACATCCCCACGCTGCCCTACGAGAAGCGCCTCTCCAAGGTGGACACGCTGCGCCTGGCCATCGGCTACATCAACTTCCTCAGCGAGCTGGTGCAGGCCGACCTGCCGCTGCGCGGCGGCGGCGCGGGCGGCGGCGGGGGCCCGGGGGGCGGCGGGCGCCTGGGCGGGGACAGCCCGGGCAGCCAGGCTCAGAAGGTCATCATCTGCCACCGGGGCACCCGTAAGTGCGTCCGCAGTCCAGCTCAGGGAGACGGGGACGGGCACGGGAAGGTCCCGGAGGGGCTGGGTGAGCGGACCCACAAGCCGACTGACGGACGGACAGGTGGTCCGTGGGCACCGGCCACCTTGAACACGAGCTGGCGTTTCGCAGGTTTTTTCCGCCACTTGACCGCGGCTGGGAGGGCTTGCGTCCGCGACGGACTTGCAGGTCCGGGGATTCCGGGGAGGGGGCGCTGGGGGGCTGGGGGTGGAGGAAGAGGGTTCGTTTTAATGTAACTTAAGACGCCTGTTCTGTCGAGGAGCCCAGGAGGGGATCCTAAAGGACCAGAGGGCACCGCTGGGAATAGAGTTGGACGTTCACGGTCTGTTTTCTCTTCTTACCTCCTCAGGGTCCCCCTCCCCCAGCGACCCGGATTATGGCCTCCCTCCCCTTGCAGGACACTCCCTCTCATGGACTGATGAAAAGCAATTCAAAGAACAAAATATTATCCGAACAGCCAAAGTGTGGACCCCAGAGGACCCCAGAAAACTCAACAGCAAATCTTCCTTCAACAACATAGAAAACGAACCGCCCTTTGAGTTTGTGTCCTGAGAAGTCCCAGACCCTCCTGAGGATCTGATTATGTCTCTGTGCATATTGTACATGTAAATATCTATAATGTAATTTAAGAATCACATTTTTCTAATGGCAATCAACTGTTATTTATCTATTTATTATCCTGTCAAGTTAATGAAATAGACGATCTCTGTTTAAGTATATAATTTATATAATTTATCCTGATTTTCTAAAAATATGCAATAGCCTTTGATTTCCCCCAGCACCTTTGGCAGAACTCTGCGTTGTTGGAAGAACTCTGGCCAGAAAACGTCATGCTAATTTATTGCCAGATATGGTTTATTTCTAAGCGATGTTAATAAATGCTATTTACACCTTTTTCTAAAAGTTTTTTGTTTACTACATGGTGGGGGTAGCTGTTTTTTTTTTTTTTTAAAGAATTAACTGAGTCTGTAAAAGGTAACTGAACCAGACGTGCAAAATGTAGTTATCTAGTAAGAAACCACATTTTAGTTCGATTTAGCTGAAAGTGGGTGGGTTAGATGGTTAGGCCCCAAGTCTCTAAGAGGGCCCTGCATCTGCATTCCCTGCCTTAAAGAGTAACTTTGGCCTGTATTTTCATCCTATCCTCCAAACACCCTATGTGGCAAATAGGTCATGGTGTATTTATTATTCCCATTTTTCAGAGGGGAAAGCTAGGGCCCAGAGACGAATATTTGACTTACCCAAGGTCACCCCTACCCCGTCTAAGCATAGTGCTTGAGGTGAGTTGGGAGCAGTGGGAACAGGGGACTAGTTTCCGGGGCTGGCCAAGGGAGGGGGGCCATCGTGCTTCCACGGCCGGGCTGGAGAGAAAGGGCAGCGCTTTAGCTAGCCCTGTGGCCCATCCCTTCTGTAGTTCCAGCATCAGGTATGTGGATCTCAGAGCAGTCGTCTCAGAGGAGATGGGGTCGACGACTGTGCTGAGGCCGGGAGACCCCTCGGATGCCTCCCAACAAAATCCGGGGTCCTTTCGGGAAAGCAAGGAGCCACTTGTGCAACCGAGTTTTTTGTTTTGTTTTTTTTTTTTAAATTCACTTCGTTTTGTCTCCGACAGAATCTCGTCTTCCTTGGCAAGCAGCCTGGGGAGAAGGCGAGCCTCGCGAGGAGGAAGCAGGGCCGCCCCCTAGCGAAGGGGAGAGGCGCGAGGGCGCGGCCCGGGGCGATCACCCGGAAAGCCCTGGAAACCCGGGCTGCGGCGGGTACCCCGCGAGGCTGCCCGGCGCCTCGTGGGCTCCCGTGGCGCCCTCGGCTGTGGGCCGGAGGCCCCGCGCGTGCGTTTGGCGCGCACCTTCTCGCTGAGTCACCGCCCCCGCGCCGCGCAGGTCCGGCCAAGGCGAGGGTCGGCTGCGCCGCGCCGCCAGCGGCTTGGTTAGCCAAGGTACGGTCGCGAGTCTGCCCCGGTACCCACGGCCCTGCCGCAGGACAATATGTCGGCAGCATGCTAATTGCTTTAACCTAGTTTCAGACCCACCGAGGGGTTCCTCGCGCGCCGCGGGTGCCATGGACCTCGTCCAAGTGCAATTAAAGCGAGGCCGCGAGCCCGACCCCGAAGCGCGGCCTGGCCAGACACGCGGAGATTCTGGGTCGAGCAGCTCCCAGGAGGCCCTTGGCCATGGACCCTCACGTCTTTCAGCCTTCGCAGCTTCTCCCGGCCCTTCCCCTGAAAGATGGAGATTTCACACTGGAGACAGAATTTGGGAAGGAGAGAAAATAATTCGATTTTGTCCTGTAATAGTGCCCCATTAAACATGAAAGTTGCTTTGGCACAAATGCTTCTATCAGGCATGTAATCTCATTACACTCATTAGAAAGTCAAATGTTAGGCAGACTTCAACTTAATTATAACTTATGTAAGGATTGTACCGAATTCTTCGTCTGTGTAGACCCGCGTTTCAGCTGGGTTGGGTACTGTGGCACTCCGCCGTTAAAACACTACAATCATTGTGATGTGGCACCTTTTATTTTGCGTGCCACTTTTTTTTTTTTTTTTTGGTGATTCAATGCCTCAACACATCCTTTAGTGCGGTGCAGATGAAGCGGAAGAGCGGGGCTGAGCGTGTAAAACACCAGGGTCTCTATCTTGTCACTCTTCTGTCCTGACTTGGCAAGTCCCTTTAAACACAACCTTCAAAGAGACTGACAGCTTCTTTTTATTTACTCATAATCCATTCATTCTAGTGTAGCAATTCTTTAAAAAAAAAAAAAAAACTGCGGCAGTAAAAGCAGAACAAACATTTCAGAGTCTCCTTTGGCGTCAGAGGCCTGAACTGCGCCTGGTGCACGAGCGGTTCTCCCTGTGGCCGCGCCAGGCTGGAGAGCCTCCGGCCTGGGGCAGCTCTGGCCCGTAAATACAGCCTGGCACTGGAAAGATCAGTGTGGGGGCAGTTTGAGTGACAGGTATTCAGCGGTCCTGCGAAGTCCACACGTTTCTTCCAACTTAAAAAAAAAAAAATCCGTATGAAAATAATTGAATAAGCAGACTCCTGGATGGCTATGGAGACCCTTCGCTCAGCCTCGCTCTTCTGAGCACCCACCAGCCCCAGGTTGAATCCCAGCCTGGGACCACCAGGGGAAAGACGTTCAAGTCCTCACTGGCTGCCTTAGTCCATTTAGCATAAAAAAGAGGCTGCAAACCCAGAACTGGGTACGTTTGAGGATCTCTACTGAGCTGGCTGAGTCTTTCCCAAGTGGTCTAGACTCCGCCGCTAGGGACTAACTGTCGGAGGAGGGAGTACTGGAGAGGGTTTGCTGAAGT